CTCTGTCTCAAAAAAAAAAAAAAAAAAAAAAGACGGGGTCTCTTGCTTAAGCTGAGCTCCAACTCCTGAGCTCAATCAATCCTCCCATCTCAGCCCCCAAAGTGCTAGGATTACAGGCCTGAGCCACCACCCCTGGCCTGCTCAATCTACTCTTGATTCTCTGGTCACACCTGTCCTTCATGGAGGTTCTCCAGGGAACCACAGGTCTCCAGACAGTATGAAGATAAGCAGTAGCTCTGGACTTTGAGGAAGCGGCCAAGGGTCCAGGTGGTGAAATCCTAATGGATGAAATCATCCCCACTGGAAGAGATGGTTCAGGAATGAACTGAGATGCCACATGTATCCCACCAAAGTGTACAGAGAGAAGTCAAACTACAAAGATGGCATCTAGGGCTCTGCAAACAGTTAAGCCTAAACCGCATAAAAACTTGTACACAGTTGTTTATAGAAGCATTATTCTAAATAGCCAAAAGTAGAGACAACACAAATGCCCACCAACAGAAGAATGAGGCTAAAAAAAATGGCGTATCCATACGAAGGCATGTCCCGCAGCCACAGTAGGGACTGAAGCACTGACACACGCTATGACACTGATAAGCCAGGGAAACATCATGCTGAGTGAAAGCAGCCAGACCCAGAGGACCACATATTGTATGACTCCGTTCACACAGAATGTCCAGAACAAACAAATCTCTAGGGACAAAGGTAGGTAACTGTTTCCCAATGACTGGGTAACAATGGTAGTAAGTGGTGCCGGCTAGGGAGTGCAGCGTTTCTTTTTTGGAACATGCAGATGTTTTCTTTTTTCTGTTCTTTTTTTTTGAGACAGACCCTCAAGCTGTCCCCCTGGGTAGAGTGCCGTGGCATCACAGTTCACAGCAACCTCCAAGTCCTGGGCTCAAGCGAGTCTCCTGCCTCTGCCTCCCAAGTAGCTGGGACCACAGGCGCCCGCCACAACACTCAGCTATTTTTTGGTTGCAGCTGTCATTGTTTGGCGGGCCTGGGCTGGATTCGAATCTGCCACCTTAGGTGTATGTGGCTGGTGCCTTAGCCACTTGAGCCACAGGTGCTGAGCCAGAACATGAAGATGTTTTCAAATTGATTATAACTCTGCACAACTCTGTGAATATCACTAAAAGCTACAGAACTGTATCCTTTCAATGGGTGAATTTTATGGTATGTGAACTGTAGCTCAATAAAACTATTAAATAACAAAGCATAGGAGTTCATGTCACAGCCCTGTCCACAAGAGAGACCTCAGTTTAGCCCAAGCTGCACAAATCACCCAGGAAAACCCAGACTTGTTTGATCTGAATTTGTATTCACCAAACAACTTCTTTCTTTCTTTTTTGGGGGGGGTGGGGGACAGAGCCTCAAGCTATTGCCCTGGGTAGAGTGCTGTGATATCACAGCTCACAGCAACCTCCAACTCCTGGGCTTAAGTGATTCTCTTGCCTCAACCTCCCAGTAGCTGGGACTACAGGCGCCTGCCACAATGCCCGGCAATCTTTTGGTTGCAGATGTCACTGTTGTTTGGTGGGCCTGGGCTGGATTCGAACTCGCCAGCTCAAGTGTATGTGGCTGGCGCCTTAGCCGCTTGAGCCACAGGCGCCGAGCCACAACTTCTTTCTTGTTACTACTTTGGGTTTGGGGAGGGAATGGCCTGGTTAGCAGACATAGCATTTTGGTTAAAGGAGCAATATATTGACCAAAATGAATAGATTGGCACCAGTCTGTTAATTAGTGTCATGATCTGGATTGACATGAATACAGCTTTGAGGGTAGTCCCTCCATAAAGCCCAGCCCCCAGCCATCCAGTCTGGTCAGTCTTTTTCACACTCCAAGTAGAAAACATACTGTGCCTGTCAGTGACTTGTGGCCTAAGGGGCAGAGCAATAGTGGAAGAAGAATCCAGGGCGGCACCTGTGGTT